TATTGGGCCCGCAGTAATCGGCGCAAGCTGTTGCGGTGTCCCTGCCGGTTGGCGAAGCTAAATAAAATAAAATAAAATAAAATAAAATTGCTTATTCCACTAATTCATAACGGCTAAAGTATAATAACATTTGTTTTATTCTCTTTGTTTCTTTAAACTCATAGAAGCGGCAACACCAAATATCAACATTAAATTTGAGCAGGAAACGCCGGGCCTACAACAGGAAGTATTTGGTCCACCATGAGCGTCAATAACAGTACTAGTGCGCCTATACTCGAACAAGCTGGGGTTCCAGAGAACAGCCTGTCTCACAAAATCATATCTTCCATAGCAATAATAATTCTCATCATTCTGACACTCTTTGGCAATGGTCTTGTCATTTCCGCTTTTTATGTGTTCAAACGGATTCGTAAAAGCGTCACGAACTGGTTTATACTCAGCCTGGCTATAAGTGACATGATGGTAGCGATTATAACGGAGCCCATTTGGTTGGCTGGCGAGATCATCGCTTGGCAATATCCACCAGAAATAGATCTGGAAACCTTCATCAATGTTTGGACCATGATCGACATCGTATGTGCAATTTCATCAATCTCTAATTTGATGTTTATCTCCGTGGATCGGTTCTTTGCCATCAAGCATCCTCTGATCCATCACACGAAGATGACACCAGGCAAGTGCAAATGGATTATCCTGCTTTCCTGGGTGCATGCAGTGGGTACCTCGTGTCTCTATCTTTTGCACGAAAATTGGACGTACATAGTGATCTTCCTATTTGGATTGCTAATCCCTCTCCTTGTCATACTCTTTTGTTACGGTGGGATCCTTCACGTGGTAGTCTCAAGGTCTCGACTTACACATCGTCACGGGAAACGCCTTTCCAATGAATACAAAACAGCAAAAAGTCTAGGCGTCGTGACCGGTGCCTTTGTAGCATGCTGGCTTCCATTCTTCGTCGGTTCTTTGGTGTATTGGTATTGCTATTCTTGTCAAAGAGACATTGATAGTATTCCAGCAATCACCTCCGGGGTGAAGTGGCTACATTACTTAAATAGCTGTTTGAATCCCATAATTTACGCGTTTTTAAATCCCACCTTCAAGATGGCGTTCAGGAACCTTATTAGGAGGATGTGTGGCAAAGAGACTTTAAACTCTTTAGATACTGAAACATCATTTGCATCATTTCGCCGACGAGACACGTATGCCTCCGTAAAGAGTAACGAGAATGGGAAGGACAAATCACCCAATGTTCCCAACGGCAATGCATCTTTTTATAAGAGTCCTCTTATGAAAAAAGGGAATAACAAGATGAATGGTATTGTTAAGCATGACTCTATCAGCGATGATGGCAGTGTAGAACGCGGTATTGAAACACCCGAAGACAAATACTTCGGTAACCCGTTTTGTGCTGCAACGCCTCCGCCATCCTATGAGGATTGTTATCAGTTAAAAAACAGCAATAGCAATGATGTATCACAAACAAGTCGCAGTGGTGTCCCCGTCGCAATAAATGGAAATTTTACGGAAGTACCGAAGCAAACATACCCCATACAGTGCGACAGAACTGTGTCCTTTTTGGATGACGTTACGATATGCGGTGAAAAGCCACCTGAGGAGACAGCTAGCGATATGCCTGCGTTGGAAGGTCATTTCTCTACCTACCATGACGAGAAGAGCAATCAGACTTTCTTACTCGTCGATGGAGTACAGATTCCAGACGGTGAAATCCGAACAACCGATGTATGAAACAAAACATTATGGATTTTGGCGTTCAAGTCACTAAAGTTTAGTGAAGTTTTTTTCAGTGCTATGTGACTGGTGTAACGATTCTTACCTCTTGCTAGACAATATTTAGGAAGAAGTTAAGAGCGTTATACAGATAAAGACATATTAATAACTGAATAAGTTTAACATCCCCTTTCATATCATAATGATAAAAATACTTATAGACAATTAGTTTTAAGCAGTAAGAGACATTTTCAACTAAGTGTCGAAAGTAAACCGGAATTTCTTTCGTTTTGCTCAACTTCGCTGTGATTGGTCTAGAAATTTTGCGCCACTTTCTCAACCAATCAAACGCAAAACTGAAATCAATCCTAACTTGGTCAACGTGTTTTCCCGCGCTTCAACCAGGTTACCTCTCTTTTTACTCTGAATTCTCATTGGTCACTCGGATTTCCCGCGCTTTTAGCGGGTTGCCTGTGTTTACTTTGTGTTCTCATTGGTTAATGATGACCTTATCTTTTGTTCTGATTGGTAGTTGTGATAACTGGTTTTTATTTTCGACACACAGTTGAAAACTGCTCTAAAGAAGCGGGAGATCTCAATGAGAGACTGATGCCACTGCATATGAATAAGCCAATCCAGTTTTTGAGGTTTTATATCTGGATTCACGCCGGGCTCATGTAAGGGATTCAATTGCTCGATTTGAGCTTCCCTTGTCTGTAGGTAACCGAGATTATTAAAGTCACAGATAAAAAACTGATTAAGTTTCCAAAGAAACGGCGGTGCTACGTCGGTGGCGGTATTGCAAGATAATTTGGTTTTATTAACTGAGTTGATAAATGAATGTACTGTAAATTTCCCACCGTAGAGTCTCTAATTAAAGGTGGCGTTTCGAGCGTTCGATCTTTGTCATAGCAAATGGCGAAAAGCTAACGCTCGAGACTCTTTACAGCGGCCAATTGACATTATCAACACAGTTAATAATACCCAAATTATCTTGTAGGTCACAAATAGCTACAGGTTTCATTTTCGATCGCCGTTTCCTATCGGAAATAAACGAGGGGCTAAACACATTTAATCACGACTTATTTCAATTCAGACAATCTATCGGAATTAGAAGCAGGCCGCTAAGTTACGAGGGTAGGCATAGAAAAATCTGTAAACTACATTCATCATTTCGAAATGAGTTATATCGAAATCGTTGACAATTACAGGGAAAAGTTATCTTAAAAGTAAATTGTTAAAAGTTTTAATAATTTGCGATTTCATGAGGAAAGTTTTATACCGAGTAGTTCCACTTAAGGCCTTGTCCACAACATGCCAAAGAAATTTCAAAACCGCGCTCTCAACAAATGGTTTTTGTCCACACTGAACTGAACGGAAAACAAAACAAACAGACAAAACAAAACAGTATAATTTGGATATATCAACAAAGTTGAAATGGTAAATTGGCCACCGTAACGATTACAAAAGCTGACGTTTCGAGCGTTAGCCAATTCGTCGGAGCGAAACAAACCAGTGACGTCATCGAAACATTTTGAAAACTGATTGCAGAATCTCGAGACTTGATTCAGAGTAAAACATTACCAGCTGGTAATGCCAGAGTAGTACATCAAGGAAACAGAATTACAATTCAAGTGATAAAAAAAATATTTGTAAGTGAGCGGCAATTTAAGCAATCGAAGAAAAGAACCCTGAAAAAATTAAGGCTTCGACGGAACTAGAACCCGGGCTCCCCAGGTACTAGTTGGGCGCTGCTACCAACTGAGCACTTAATCATGATAATCAAAATTGATTTTAATTTGTCTGTGCAGTTAGTACCGGATTTTATTTACATTCACGGCTCTGTTAGTAACACCCGCGACACAACAAAGTAACTAAATGGTTACACAATTGGCAAATATATAGTTGTCATTTACTCTACGGCTCGCCACACAACACTTTGCTCCCCAAAATATTACATGACGGCCCAAGTAAACAAAAAATAATCAGATTTCTTTTGGATTTATAAATTCACGTGTGCCAGTTCTCGCATACTGGCATTCATATTACATCAAAATTTTTCTCATGGCTGTTCCCTACTCAAAATCAAAGCCATAAACTGTTCCATATTCAATAACTTAATATTATCTCGAAAAGATTTGGATTAACAAAACAATGGAAATCATAATAATTTTCTCCTTTAAAAATACCCTGTTTCACTTAATTTAGTGATTTTCCCTATTTGAGAAAAAAATCGCGAAACTTCACACGCACGAACTATCGCTTGCGCGAAATTAAACACCCAAAATTCATTACCATAATTAGAGTCATTTGTATCAGCTCAGGGTTTGAGGAAATAAATCACAGAGAAAATCGCGAAATGATGGACATGTTTGCTACCACGCTATTTCAACTGCGAAAATAAGTAAATGCGAAATGAGGCTCCCTAATTTTCGCAAATTAGAAAGAGAAAATACGATCAAGAATGGCTTACTCAGACGTTTAAGACCTGACCGTATAAAACAGACGTGTTCAAGGTGCTTTCTGTTTTCCTATAAGCTACTTTCCCTTCGCCAATCAGACGAAATAGAGCTCGCACATTTCCCCTAAGTTGACAAATGTAGTCACACACCAGGGTTTGTCGAGCTCTGACGCGAAAGCATGGTCATCATCGTCTTAAGATTTCTATAAACCTCTGGTTGCATAAATTAAGATCGTTTGCTTGCATAAACCCACGTCATAGTCGTAACGAAGTATCAAACTGCATCCATTCCCAATCCTTCATATCAAAATATTGTTGAGTAAGTATAGCAAAAAATATCATCTGTATCAAATACGTATTCTCCAATCCGCACCATATCTACCTAGCAAACTATAAAACAAATAGTTGGATGATTATCCCTAACGCTGCCAAAATAAATCCCTTCCGATATGGCCTTTTGACTTCATTGAAAAAAATTAATAAATTAAATCAAATTTTGCACCAATAAATTCGTAGAGCGCATTTCGATTAAGAACTGCAAACCTAACCCTAGTAATCATAGCAGCCAATCGGAAGAGAGAAAAAGATCACAACAAGCCAATCACACGCAAACTGTCCAAAGCGCGGGAAAGCGCGGGAAAACGCAGGTGACCAAGTTGCAATTGGTTTTAGTTTGGCATGTTATGAGTTGAGAGAGTAGTGGAAGTTTTCTGGAAAATAATTCACAAAGATTTACAGAATGGAGGACTTTTGAATACTCCTTGCATCTTGCATAGCTGTGACACATTTTCTCTTCTCAAGTAAATTTCTGGCATCTCTAGTCGATCTTCAATGTGCTAGCGTAGTCCTCTTGCCTCTGCTGACGGAATTCTGGTTTCACAGATGTTCGTTTCAGTTGTCCATCCCTGAAAAAAACAAAGAGAAGAAACGAAACGTTAAGTCAACGCTGTTCGAGTTGGCAAAACTCTCGGCAGAACTATGAAAGCGAGCTTTTCACAATTGGTTCCGAGGTTGAGTTTTTTTCTTTCCATTTAACGTTCGCGTAATAAACAGCTAAGTAATCCACCTGTCAGCTGATACAAGAAACGGCTTCCCTAGTGTCAAGATGCTGGGTAAATAGATTTAGTTTGGCATCAGCTGCGCGCCACTGGTGGCCGACGCGTAAGTTAGATTGCATTTAGAAGCACCGACATGGTAAGATGAAAAGGAATTTAAAACCTGACTGGTTGATGTGCCGTTGATTTGCAGCCGGGAATGTTCGTTCGCTCTACAGAGACGGAGTGTAAATCGTTGAACAAAATTGTCTGTCTTAACAAACACTTACCAAATGAGGTCAACTAGCCCTCCCTGACGAGCAATCTCTGTTTTGACGCGATTTGCAAATTGTGCAGCGCTCTCGTCTTCCTGTAGGTCAAGCAAAATCATTAATTGTGAAATGCGATCAAGAAGTTTGAAATCGAGCCCATCAACGTTTCCACTTAAGCCCGCCATTGAAAAAGCAATATCAAGCGTTGTAAAATTCATCGACACAATTTTTTCTACCTGACGAGTCATTTTAGGAAGATACCACACATCACAGACTAGTGCCCAGTTTGTCAGCAGAAGGAAGAGGTATAGGGCGAAGCCTTCAGCACTGGAGTTCCAAAATGCGTTTCCAAAAGTAGGATCGTACTAAAGAAAAAAGTGATATCAATTGAAAACTCGTTAACTCTCAATAACTTGAAGACTACAACGTGAGGTGTGAAGTTGACAAATTTTCATTCACCCGTCCTTTTGCCCAAAAAGAAAAAAAAAAATACTGCTTTTCCGGTCAGAGCGTAGGAAAACTGTTTCCCGTCATCTTGAATGGCAATTTTCCTAAATCACACTTAGCCAAGGTTTCGTTTCTCTTTCCTGAGATTGAGTTCTTGTTGTTGTTTTTTTTTTTTTAACTCACTCAATTTGCCTTCTCACAGAAGGTTCGACAGAACGAACTAAAAAGAAATGAACAGTTCCAAGACCTCACCTTGATTGCTACAGGAAAAATATCTCCACCAATCTCAAAGCTACCCTTCTTAAACATCATCACAGATGTGTTGTTAATGCAAGTTCCTGGGAAGACAAACACTCTTAGGTACACATGCTACTACTATTGGCGCAGGGCAAAGAATAGGGTTAGCCGAAAAATGGTGACCGGTCGAGTCGTCGAAAATTCATCTCGCCCAAACCGAGTTATGTCGCCCGAAGCTAGGGTTATGTCGCCCAAAATTTTTTAAGTTAAGTCGCCCAAAATTCCGATTTAAGTCAACGGAGATCTTGTTGTGAGTTAACAAAAGAAACAGACTGTAAATGTGAAATAAAGTTAAGAAATATTTTCGTTTCCAACAACAAATACAGCGTTGTTTGTTCCATGAAGCGAAAGAACCAAACGAACGGCAATCGATGCCTGACGACCTTACCCTTCTCCCAATACGCCTGAGACATAAAAAGTAAAAAGCATATTTGGAACTTTGTAAGAAAACCGTGACGGTAAATGCAAAAAATTCAATGGTAGAAAGGGGTCAATCAACAGAGGAACCTACTCACCTTCAGGAAATATTAATATTGGGTTTTTAGTTGCATCTTGAACATGTTCTCTTAATCTAGGGATGAAATACCATTCGTAGTTAGTGAATAACTGCAGTGTACATTTTCCAGCCGATATTTTCTTCATAATTTCATCGCGCTAATGGAAGTTGTGACTCGATTTTGCAAGGTGTTTCAGCAACTAGAATCACTTGGATCGTGTGCATATGAGAGAAATTAAAAGTCTGTGGCTAACCTTAATATCGTAAAGTATGTTGTACTAAGCGAAATTTTAGCCTGTTCCAAGCTTTAGTTCAAACAACTAAGCGCGACAGTGGGGGAGGAGTTAAAAAACGAGGGAGGTTTGGGAAGGGTTCCCTACGCGACCTGACCCAGACCTCCCTCGTTTTCGCTCTGCCGCTATCACGCTGTTAACCATTTTGCATTTTGCTTTATTTTACTAACTGACCGGCTGGAACAGACAAGCGAAATTTAAGTTGTACAGGCTTAGTGTTTTTCGAACTTTTTTTTACCAGAATGGTGGTCTTAAAGAGGTTCAAAAGTAACTTAGGTCAGTTCAAATCAAAATATTTTTTTTCTGAAAATATTGGATGTCTTGACTTTTTGACAAAGTTATATTATCACGAAAAATTCTTTTCCAGCATGAACAGTACCTTTTTGTTACAATCAATCTGTCCTTCATTTCCGTTCTTTCAAACCAAATGTGATCTTGAGTTTTAGCAAGAGTTCTCTCGAAGAAACCAAACAAACCAGGTTGTCTCTGACCAACCTACAAACAAATTCACGAATACATGCAGGTAAATAAGTAGGTGTTGTCTTTGGACTTGAGACTCCTTTCACATAGCCACTCTCCACCCAAGAGCATACACGGGTGCCACAGAACTGACAAGAAAACTACAACAAATGCTGGGGGGCATTTGTGAATTAGTAGCATCTCATCTAAGCGTTGGGAATGGGAGGGGGAGAGAACTCACATCTAGTCAGTTCATGCTATGAAACCCAAGGCCTTCTGACTTGTAAATTGACTTACACCTTTTGTTTACAAGATCTGATTGATAATTCTCCCCTCTAACTTGCACACATTTCCTTGTAAGTTAACTTCTACCTGATAAGTTTGAGTATTTTCATTACCCGTTTCCAGAATAACATAAGGCTATGAAAGAGAGAGGCTAAATGTTAATCACTTCATATTGAGATTGTAATCTGCATTTCGCTTTGCTACTGTACTGGCATTAGAACCTTGATCATTCATCCTTTTTAGAGCTTTTGAGTGCTAACCAGCCTCAATTTATATTTCATTGGACATTAACAATTTCTCAGTTAAGTATATAACTGCCTATTTTACCAGAGAGTAGCATCTGTCACACATTAATATAAGCACATCCAGGGGGGTGGTGTGGTTTGCCACACAAATACCACCTCCATTGGCCATGTTCTCTCTGAAAGTGGAAAGCCAAAATATTAGAACAAACCCTTCAGATTTATTTTCCTTCTGCTAAAGTTAACTGGACATGCCACTGTAATCTAGAACACAGAAAGATTCAAACAACTTACTTGTTGTGAAATGTGATCACGGCTGACACAGCCCTTGCAAAAATTCTAAATGAAACCAGCATGCATTTGGTATCCAGCCAGTTTCTGAAACTAAAAATTTACACTAATAAATGAAAGACAGTGCCAAGAAAGACCTTGATCTGTTATTGCAAGATACAAGTTGAGGGAAACCTCCATAGCTTCAACAGATTGTTTAAAAATCATGGAAAAAAACCTTTAAAGCTAAAACTTCTTGGCCAGCTTGAATGGAAAAGAAGTAACTAATTAGTTTGAGGATAAAATTGAAACAGATGAGGGCCATTTTCAAACTGGAATTTTGTATACACATTATATGTTGGGATGTCTGACATCCCATGGTTGCCAATACTATCAACACTAATGGGAAGCCAGACTTACACCATGACCTGTGGGTGGAGCATGGTTGCCCATCAAAAGAAAGGGGCTGGGGAGGGGTTTGAATTGACAATTAATAATTCTGAGCTGCACCTTGGTGATGTTGCAGGTACATGACATTGTATTGTTTTTTACTTCCAGTCAGAAGTAAACACTTAATTATTAACCTTTTAACTTCCAAGATGTGAAGGTTAATACCCCCCTCTAGCTGCTAGATATTTCCTTGTAAATTTTTTAACAAAAATTTGGCATTCAATTAAGATCATAACTTCTACCTGCTAAGTTTGATTACCATAAATCCTCTAAGCCCTCTGGGAGGTTTATCTATTTCAGGCACTTGGGGGGGGGGGGCTGGCTTATTAGATGGGGAGATTCATAGAGAGGGGGCTTATTAATTTAGAACTCAATAAAGAACTCAATTTTATGATCTAACTCTCTAAGTGGACCTTGTTTGGCCATGTTATATGTTAAGCATTGCTCTGTAATTTCTGTATACCATATTCTTTTGATGCCAACATGATAACATCAATCAATCAATCACCATAATCAATTATAAAGACAAACTAAAATTACAGTACTTGAATAAATTTATCTTACTTACTGACATGGAGTGTTATTTTGAATTTTTTTTTTTCTGAGGGGGAGAGCTGGAGGGCTTGATGGAGGGGGGAGCTTAATAAATTTCTTCTTCTAAAGGGGGGGGCTTATAGAGGGAGGGCTTATAGAGGGAGGGCTTATAGAGGGAGGGCTTATAGAGGGAGGGCTGCTTATGGTATTATTATTAGAGGGAGGATTTACGGTATTCCCTATACCTGTTTGCTGGATAATTAACAATTATTCGCCGAAGGTGAGGTGAATATTCGACAATATTCAACGAACCTGAGGCGAATAACTGTTTTAGTATAATTTCAGAGCTGAACAACAGAGAAATTTCTAAAATCATGACATTTTAGTAACATTTAATAACATTTTATTTTAACATTTTATATAAACTGTGTGGAGCGGTTTATATAGCGTCACATAAGGAACCGCTTGACCAATCAGATTGCTGGAAACTCTTTGCTCAGCTCTGAAATTATACTTATGTATGGATATTATAGGGAGAAGTTACATGTTAATCACCTCTAGGAGTTGCAGGGTTTAAAGACATTTTTATTTAGCAATTTACCTGGATTTTGGAAGCTGAACGATGAAGATTCTTGATGAAATCAACAAAGCCATGCCAAGAAGAAATAGCGTGAATCTACAAACACAACAGAGATTTTCTTATCTCATATCATGCTGTTGATATGAATTCATAGCCACAACCTTCAGTTCATGCACCATAAAGGGGTTGAAATTGATTGGATATGAAAATGCCATATTGCCCCAAAATGACTAAGAAAGTTAGGGTGATTATTTACTTTAAGTGCTGTTGGATGTCATCTAATTTTGTTACCTTCAAGATAAGATTTTTCTCAGTTAACCACAAATGAGACATCTAAATAAAAGAGCATTTACATGTTCCAGACAACTATCAAATGTAAGACCTTCTGAAAACAAGTTCAGGCTTATGGTTGCTCAGCCAGATTGTACGCGACTTCTTCGTGTGCAAAACATGCTGCAAAGTGATAGAATTTAAACTGCATGTCTTGTTGCTTTGGTGCAACTTTTTGTCATCAAAAAAAGCAATGAAGGAGAAACCATCAATTCCATGTTCTAACTCACCGCATGGGAAATAAGATAACATATCTCACAAAGCAGCCCAGCACCCACATGATGGTTAACTTGACACTGAAAACAAACAAAGTAATCATGATAAAAAGTCCAAATTCACCCTAATGATTGCCATACACCTCACACAAATGTGTTCAGAAAATGTGAAATCTATCTGAGTCATACATTTTTTTCCCTGATTGGTTCTTACCTTGTTCTAAGCTATTATTTTAATTACAACAAAGAGGAAGAACTTGACCCTTTGTAACCAGCAAGGGGAAAGAAAACCAATAACCTAGGAGAATTAAAACCTCAGGTCTACCTAATTTGGCCACCAAATCCTCTTCCAACTGAGCTGGAGAGAATTTATGGTAATAGAATGGGAAAAATAAGAATTTACACATTTATTTTTTTTTGAAACATCTTAGTAGGCCAGAATGTTTGAACCTTGAATCTTATTGGTTATTCACATGCTTGTAACTGGTCCAATTTTTAACACTATGGACACACAGTCTGAAATTTCTTCCACTCACAAAATATCAAATTGGAAAAAGATAAAATGAATAACTAAAGGTATCAACTGATCTAGGTCAATCCACATGGGAAAATACTGTTTGCTTGGTCCTCGTGCAAGATCTTAGGCACAGTTTTTCCCATATGGACCTCCTATTCAGTGAATAAAATCTAGTATTCTTATCTGAAATCTTGACTTAAAAAGGTAAGATTTACAGTAGGAAAGGCACGAGTGAGGGACCTTATGAAAACATCTTACCTAATATAGTCTTAATATAATAATAAAATTTAGTATATACTAAAACAGTGGATAGCGTTGAAGGCGTGCTCTGATTGGCTAATCAAACTCCGAATATCCTTTGCTATCTACCTCCGAGCAACTCAGGGGAAAATGGCGTCCTGGTTTGCATCCGTGACAAGCGAAGAAATCACTGAAATTAACGACGGTGGGGTATACTATCTCACTGTTTTAGTATATACCAAAACAACTATTCACCTCAGTGTCGGTGGTCAGCGGTGGATATTTACCTCTAACCACCTCCACTTCGGTGAATAGTTGTTGAATAATCTTACCTAAGAAGAACATCTTACCTAATATAGTGATAATTCTCATTTGTCCTGGTGAGGAGATTCCAAGATTCCAGTTCTGTGATAAAGAGGAATGAGGGTTAGAAATTCAACAAAGTACAGCCTCAAACATTTTTTTTTTAACATTTAACTAATTTTGAAATATTCTTCATCCATATGTTAGACTTCTCTCCTGGAAGTCTGTGAGTCACCTTTTGCAAATACAATATATTTTTTCAATCTTCAACAAGGAAGCAAAATAAAACAACTTTGTCTAAAACAAGGTTAGGGTTTCAAGGTCTTGAAAGAAAACCTCCACTCAGATCCTCTCCCTAAACAAAATAGCTGTGTCCTTTAAAACTTTCTTACAAACCAGCTGAATCCATAGCATCAGTCTTTTTTCTGTTACATAAATTTAGCTGGGATGTAAGTCTTCCATTCCTGAGTGCCTCGGCCTTTCCAGATCAATTCTGATACAAACCTTCTGCAGAAAAGCGCTTCGTTACTTCATCATCTATAATCGCCTACATGTCACACAAAAGAAATTTGACATTAGGATTTGATTTTAACCACCTAGTAGGTAAAGACTAACAGGAATGTCTCACACAGAAAATTTAAAACACACAATACAAGAAACCAGTGAAATCAGAATAGATACATGAGCCAGAATGGTTCTGTGAAATAGTTCCTTTCAGTAAAGGAATGGCTCCTATATTATAAAGTTCAATAAGAATGAAAGGGAGCAGAGAGGAAAAAACTATCCTGATTAGATGAAGCCAATGATTAAGACAAAGGGCTTTCTCAATCAATCCCTAGTATTTTCAAAGTTAAAGTTGCTAAGTTTCAAGACAAGGTGGTTAGCCTGAATGTCAGTCATCCCCTCCCCTCCCCCCCCCCGGGGGAGGGGATGGCCGACATTCAGACTACAAAGAGGTGGATAATCAAAATTTGGTTCTGCAGTAGTTTAGAATATCTGTAAAACACCCCTCTTACACACAATAAATATGATGTACAAATAAGTAATAAAGAGCACACAACAAGTAAACTTTTCTACCCACCTCAACTCCATTAACACAGAACTCTATGGCATCACCCATGTGGAACTCTCTTTGAAAGGTTCCAAATGAACGGTTTCTAGGCAAGTTAGCTTTCGTGGGTTTTGCTGGTGTTTTTTCAATGACTGAAATAACAATAAAGATGCATAGCAGTAAACATTTACTAAACATTTTCTTGCATAACCAGAAAGTCAGTTAATGCATTGGCATCCTTAAAGAGCACTGAACATCACATACTGTACAGATTCAATGAAACTTGAAGTACTATCATGGCTTTCATGGGACTGTTAGGAGTGGAGAAACTAGTGGATGCCCTGTGCACCAGTGGATGCCCTGTGCACCAATGCGCTTTGAACCCTGAGAACTGTAAGAGTAACTCCATATCGACTTAAGGATGGATAACAATGAATGCAAATAGCATTCAAAATTGACCATAAAAACATTGCAACTGCTACATGATTTCCTCACCATGCATCTTGAGTCATGCAGTAAATGGCTTGAACCCGGGGGTAACATATGAAGGTGTAGTCTGATCGTTCAGGTGAGTGTAGTCCTGAGAAGGACTGTTGTCGGTGGTAGTGACTGACGTTTCGACAACCTGTGTGGAAGTCATCATCACTTGACTCTGATGATGACTTCCGCACAGGTTGTCGAAACGTCAGTCACTACCACCGACAACAGTCCTTCTCAGGACTACACTCACCCGGACGATCAGACTACACCTTCATCTTGAGTCATGTTATTAATCAAGGTTTGGAGAGCAAATTATCTATTGACTTGAGTGTTTTCAGGTTAATCTTAAATCTCACTGCATGGAACGTTGTAACAAAAGGTTCTCCTGGTCCCGACCTCAATGAAATATAACAAATCTTATAAAGGCTGATAGTTTCTAAAGAAACTGTTTAGGGCTGCCTCAGTGGGGGTAACGAAATAATTTGAATATATCACCAAAGTTGAAATGGTAAATTGGCCACCGTTACGCTTATAAAAGCTGACGTTTCGAGTGTTAGCCCTTCGTCAGAGTGAAACATTCATTATCAAAGCTGTGTTTTTGGCTCCGACGAAGGGCTAACGCTCGAAACGTCAGCTTTTATAATCGTAACAGTGGCCAATTTACCATTTCAACTTTGTTGATATATTCAAATTATAACAGAAATCTTGCTGATTTGAAAGCTACTTTTACTGTCTTTACTTTACCATTTGATTTTACTCCATGTTTTGACTGAATGGTTCTCCTTCCAATCTATAAGACGAAAAAAAGAAACATTCATTAAAACAGCTGTGTTTTTTCCCCCACATTAAAAATGAGCAGCCATTTTCCAGAAGCTAAAATAAAAGAATAACAAAAGTATGTAAATATTAAAATATCGCGATAGATGTTCGCTTCAACGATAGAAACGTACAGATAAACAAGGCTTCTATTTCGAAGTCCTTCAATTTCAAGAAGACGGGACGCTTGTAAGTATTTTTTAGACAAAATTTAACAGGTCTTTTACAACTCTCATTTATTGGCGATCTGAGATACCAACAACGTTAACATTAGCAAGCAATTTACAACAGCACCCAAACGGCGTACCTCAAAAATTTTGAGCAGAGTGGCTAAATACAAATTTCTAATTCCAAACGAAAATCCCAAAGACGCTGGGATGGCCATGAACAGAAGGATGAAAGCGAAATAGCAAAACAAAAATATCAGCCACATGTCCGCCATTTTGAATTTCTTCTGGTTTGAATATCCGCTGACAAGCTTCTTTTCATGTGTGTTCGATTACCCAGAATTCTTCTGGCTCTGGGTCAGAGCACTCCTCAAGGAGCAAAGGTACTCGGTTAAAAGTCTCGTAATTACGTGGCTTCACGCGGAAATTTGAGAAGTCCGAAACGCTGGTTGGTTTATCGACTTGTAACAACCCCTTCGCTTTGATCGCTCAAGGGCCAAACTCAGAAACGAGTCAGACAACATGCATGAAAATGGTTCCTTTATTTCCAGTCACGAGCCACACCAGTGTCAGATGATTCTTTTATGATCAAACTCCTGACTTGATACAATTAAATCCTGGAAATAAACCGTGAAACTGATAAACCTGATAGAGACAACTTTTTGAGGGGTTTGTATTAGAAAAATGCTTGTAACTCACGGAGAGAAAAAAAGACAAAAAGAGTGAGAGAGACCGACAAAAGTTTGCACAAAATGGGTGTACATTTTTCGTAATTTCTGTGCAGAGACGACTTTTATGAATTCCTTTTTGACTTAACCGGCCCGACAGTGAAGCGGAATTATTTTGGTCATGTAATGAAATACTTTATTGAGCAAGCTTGTCGAGTCGAGATGTGGTTGTATGCTGTATCGTTCAGAAGCATGCCCGAATTCCGCATTGGACCAAAGGGACAGGACCGGGATTAAGAGTACAACTGAAACGATAGAAAACAATTTTCTCGAAGAAAAAATAAATTAAATAAAATGGGGGATCAGTAAATTATATCGTGACACAACCAAAATCCTCCCACCCCCTCCCCTCCCCAGGCGACTAGTGACCAGTCCCGAAGCGTGAGAAGAACGTCAAGTTTGCATTTTCTCGCCTAAAAAACGCAAAAAAGTAAAACAAAACAAACCAAAAAAAAAAACAAAACAAAAAAACAAAAACAAAAAGGAAAAAAAAAACAAATAAAGCCTGTCTCCCAGGTTATGTTGAACAGAACGAATATTGTAATAAGGTATTTCTCTATGCGCCCAAGAATGGAATTTGATCGAAATTGTGATGCTTGCATTCTGCAGGAGAATTTGATTTTTACCTCACTTCCGTAAAAGTGCATATTTCAAACAATTAAGCAATGAAGTAAGCAGCCTTAAATACCCCTACCCTACCCTAGAAATTCCTCAGACTTTCACATGTTTCATTTCGGAGAAACCGCTACAGAAGTATTCTTGGATGACAAAGTGATAACTCAATTATACTGGGTAAATCAAGGTGTGGTTGCCTGTGAGTGCCTCAGACAAAACAAAGGCAAATGTTTGTAATATCTCTGAGGATTTCAAAGAAGTAAAAGAAAAATTGAACTTGAAGGGGCCTACGACATTCCGGAAAAACCCCACTGGCACAAATTATTGAAAAATCCAGTTGTGTAAATATTTGTAAAAATCACTTTGACACTGCAATAAATCGTAAGTTCGCGTGTCGGCTTTCAACAGAAAAGTTAAAGCAATTTATCACAACTGTCGAAGATAACCGCACCTAAGAATTAAACGTTTGATAAGTAGCAGTCACAGAACATACCTCCTTTCGCAAATAATAAATTACACCGCGGTAATGTAAAAGCAGCACGATTTCAGCACATCATTACCTGATCCGAAAATAAAATCCCAAGCCAGTTATGACATCACTATGACGCAAATTCACTTCCTAAACGGAAATTGAAAGCGATCAATTTAATCAGCGGCAATCGCAAGCATATTTTGGAGATTGCTTTGGATAGATACCCCGTTATAGTTTTATAAATCACTTTTCTGCGCGAAAAGAGAATGATAAACAAAGGAAATCGTACAGAAAATTCGTATTTGCTTTAAATCAATTAAGACTTTGCCTGGTGAAATATACGTTGAATTGCCCCCTTTTGTTCGTCAGCTCTTCATGTAGATTAAATATTTTAGTCGTAACTTTTTTTTCATCGAGAAGAGGAATGTTCTCTTAGTATAATTCTGGCATTTTCTTGATATGTGCCAATATGTGTACAATTTCACGAACAACTTGGCTAAGAGGGGTTGTCAGACCTTAAAATGCACATGATTAAGAGCTTCTTCCAACTTTACCGCTTTACAAACAAAGAGTGATAAAGATTGCATGTTTTGCGAGACGATGAAAGTCTCTGGTCGGTTCTGAAAAAACAATTTTTTGGGGGCTGCTAAATCTACCAATTACTTTGTGTTTGTTCATATTTGGAATTTCTTCTGATAACAAAAGTTAACTAGTTTTTTTTTTTCCGATTGAATCAAAGAATAACTGAAGTATACCGTATTGACATGGCGATATCCATTTTTTCAACGAGCGTATTTTCCAAGGAAAATATAAAAGCATAGTATTTAATAATAAAATATCGACAGCTAAACATGTGTTTTCAGCAGATTAAGATACTATGATCGATTTCGGAAAATAAACGGAGCCAACAACTCCTCTGTGAGAGAGTATGGCATCTTGATCAATTTACTACAAGGTAACTCCCTTCGTTGGCTATTCGCCTTCACAACATTAAATGGTTTCAAGCAAAACAGCTTTTACTCGGACAAGATTTTGAACTACTTTGATTTTTCTCTTATGTTTACTGTAAGAAGTTTCAAGAAACTTATCAAAAAAATAAAAAAAGAGGACTAACAATTAACTACTTTGACAATAACGGGACAAGTGAAGAAGAACTTTGCAAGTGGTTTGTATGATCCATTGTGGGAAGCCCTTTGGTTGAGAACAGCGTCTTTCAATACTTATAGTGCTGCGAAATTTTAACCGAAATTTTAACCGAAATTTTAACGCTCTTTGCGTCAAAAACATCTCCAACTATCGCTATGATAATCAAGTAATCCGCTTAAGTGCATTTCCAAAAAAGCTGTTTGAGTTTCGTCTGCTTCAAAGGCGCACAAACAAACGCAAACCAGCAGAATTCCGATAGATTCTTTGTTTTGTTTGCTCGCCGACAAGAGGCGTACCCAAAAAATCCATTAAAGCAATTGAATACCGCAGATCCCCCTATCAGCTGACACCAGACGGCAGGAAATAACTCACTGGGCAATATTCCCAGGGTGTTAATTGCTTTCGTAATCTCGCTCAGTGCTGAGATTTTCTCTGGCATCGAATTATACGTCTTGAAATAACCACATGTTCGTATTTATCTACGACACCAGCCAAGCTGCTTTGAAAAAAGACGTATTGCACTAAATTTTCCGCGATAAACTGCTTGGATTATTTCGTCCTTGGTAATCAATAGCTCGTATTATTGTGTTGATAGTTATCGAAAGCAAAATACTCATAGCGGACATAAAGTACATTTGCGGACAGCTCACTAATTGCGGTGGCTGATTGTTTTCATAATTGCTTTGCCACAACCAGAAAGGAGCACTCTTTTCAGCTATGAAACCCCAGGGTTTTGAAGGCACTTCATCCAGTAAAAACGACAAATTGTCCACTTTGCATACTTTCCCTGCACTTTTCCAAAATGTAGTTTGTACTCTTGAGATAACACAAGTAAAGTTGCGATTCTTGAAGAATGAATTTTAACGAGATTTCAACACGAGCTGTTGTTTGTCCTTCATTACCCACCAAAAGACATAACAAAACGCTCACCCTTCATACAAATATTCCACCGTAAAAAGAGCTCCAAGACATGGACCACCTTTGCGGATTCTTTTCTGAGAATCGACTAAACCTTCACAGAAAATCCTCAGTATGAAAATACCACGAAAATCTCTTTGTTAGTATTGTTCATTCATTGATGTGTAAACTACCATTATTAAGAAATAATCCTTGTGTTTTTTTTCTCAGCCATCAGCTGAAGTAAAAGTACACTCAGGAAGTTAAAATGGTAAATGGGCATTTTGTAGCAAGGGGTTAACTTCACATCTTCCCTATGAAAATAAAAAAAAAGTAAATAATAATAATAAAAAAAAGCAATCCAGTTTATCGCCATGGATGCTGAAATATAGTCGGCATCTGTGAGTTCACACCGAATAGGAACTTGTGGACTGAATTCTGTAAAAATTCTGTAGCGAGCAACAGTTGGGCTCAATAGGTGATAACGCTGATTCGGTATCCGCAGTTCATTTTTGCTTTTCACTCGATTCTTATACTTTTATAACGAAGCCGTTTTGACGTTTTTTTTTTTCTAATTACAAATCAGTACCCCATGACCACCTCAAACCCTTAAATCCAGGGAATTGGAGAGAACAACTTGAGGCCAAATGCCAGACGATATCCGTTTATTTGGGATTCTTTGATGAAACTTAGAGTTCGCAAGGCACTCTTTACAGTTTAACTCTCAGGCAAGCGAGTGTAAGTAATACTAATGATTAGTTTTTCTAACAGAGAAGATTAGATTTGATTTGATGACGGTGATTTATGCTAAGGAGTCCAGTTTAGTTAACTTTTCAACCGAGTTCCTACGGCCCTCAGTATAGGCCTCTGCAAAACAAATATCTAGTAAATAACAATGATATAAAACTTTATAAGGTGTTTTCAAAGCTCTATATACATAAGACGCTTCGGTTCCCCGGAAACAATTTACCGAATTTCTCTCTGCTATTTGTTTCGTTTCCGCGCGTACGGCTGACAAAACAATTGGACTACTTTGCTTTATGATCTATTACGATAATTCGTTAGTCCACGATGTAAATATAAATATCTTATTAGACGTTTTGTTGTGTAGTATCGCTGAGTATATTTACGAGTTGTGCCGTATTTTGACGAGCCTGTAGGGTGAGTAAAAATATAAACGGGTAAAAATACTCGGCGATACTACACAACAAAACGTCTAATAAGCGATTTATTATCCTACATGCCAAATTGTTATTTCAGTGTGGGCGAATTTCGCGGATATTTCTGGAGTACAAATATCGCGTGATATTTGTACTCGTCTTGCGCGTTATTTGTACTCTACGAAGCACAGTTGGATAATAAGAAATAATTTTCTGAAAATACAAGGCGCCCCTTCTCCGAATGCAGTGCACTGAACCGCAG